CGGGTGCTGAGCCTGGCCCGCCGCGGGCTCTGGCTCTACACCCACCCGCTGCTCAAGCTGCTCTTCCTGCCCCAGCGCTGCAGGTACCGGCCTTCCTCCCCGTCCTCCTCCTCCTCCTCCGGGGCCCGCTCCAGCTTCCCCCCGGGTCCCAGCCCCGGGAGGCAGCGGCGGTGCTGGGCTCGGTAGCGCCGGTTTCTTCTTCAGGTGCAAGTTCTTCAGCCTGACGGAGACCCCCGAGGACTACACCATCATGCTGGACGAGGAGGGCTTCAAAGGTACCATGCAGTGGCTTCCACGGCCACTCCGTCCCTCGCAGGGTGGGCTGGCACCGCAGACACGAGTTGTGCATGTTCTCAGCCCGGCTGAGTGCAGCGACGCTCCGGGCCTCGGCTGCAGGGAGCGAGTCCCAGCTTGTAGCCAGGCTCCTTCGGTACATGCCCATCCTCAGGGCTCCTGGCCACGGAGCTCCCATCCCCTCGGCGCCTGCGCTGGGGATGTACCAGCTTGCCCAGCTGACGCTCTCCCGGCATGGCTGCCTTTGCCCTAATAACCCCCTCCCAGGCAGAGCTGTGTCTCCGCCGGCTCGTGGGACCAGGCTGTGAAACCGGCGGGGACAGTCTGCAAGGAGCCCAGTGCCAGCCGAAAGCTCCAGGCAGGGGACAGGTACCTCCCGGGGTGTCTGCAGGCAGTGCTTCGGGCTCCCTGCCTGCACAAGGGGCTGCTGCCAGACCTCCTGCCATCATTCCCTTGCCCGCTTTCATCTCTTCCCCCTGCCTGGTGAGGGCCGGGGCCGGCCTGTGCTTCGGCAGAGCAGGGCTAATTCTGCACCCACTTGGGCTGGCAGGGGTGAGCCCTGCCTGGGGGTGCTGCCTGGCAGCGGGGACCAGGTTTTGGGGTGTTCTGGGGGGATTTGAGCCCTTGCACGCCAGTCCCCCTCCCCAGGAAGTGTCATCTGGTGACATCCCCACTGCTGGTGACCCAGCGTGTGCCCGTGCATCAGCCTCACTGCTGGTCCTGCCGGGGGTAACGGCCCAACGGGCTGTGCCGGAGGGGCCGGATCCTGTCCTGGCTTCCCACGCCCAAACCTTCTTGCTGAGGCCGCAGGAACTGGCCACAGCTTATCACCTTGGACGTGCCCCAAGGAATAAGGGCCAGCACTCCGGCCATGGGGCTCTTGCCAGCCGGATCCAGCTCCCAACTCCCTCCCCGGCCCTTTGCTCGGGGAAGGGGCCGCAGGGCCAGGCTCCCCCCACCAGAGCCAGAGCCGTTCCCCACGTATTGTTTTATTTCGGGGCTTGCGGACAAATATTCCTCAATCCCGAGGGGAGGGCGGGAAGTGCCGAACAATGGTCCTGCGAGCTGGCGGCCCCGCTGTGCTGTGTGTACCCCCCCGGGGGTGGGGGGCTGCCAGTGTCCCCCCGCTGCGGGGCTGGGGACAGGACCCCGGGCAGAGGAGAGCTGCACCCTCCCCCTTTTCCCTTGGGGATCTGGATTAAGCCCTGGGGTGGGTGGCACGGGGACAGAGGGGTCCCCCCCGCATGCTCACGGCCTCACCCAGGGTGGTGTTGAAAAGCGATTAAGCGGCGAGCACTGGGACGGGTCCCTGCGTCCCAGTGTGTTCCCACCCCCGGCCCCAGTGCTCGGCCCTGGGCCGGAGCCGAGGCTGTTCTGGCGCTTCCTGCGCAGGAACAGGCGCTGGAAACACCCGCCGAGGCCCTGGATCCGGCCCTGCTCCCGCCCTGCCCCAAGCCGCGGTTCGGGAGCTGGGTGCGGAGCCCGTCCCGTGATGGGGTCCCCACTGTGGGTGCCGGACCCCTCCCTGGGGCGACCTCCCCTCCGCCACTGGTGCGATGAGTTTGCCTCCTCAGCTGGGCTGGGACGCCGGGTGCCCACCGAAGGGCTGGGTGCT